AATCGTTAAGCTTCCTGGCTTCTGCTTTATTTTACTCTGAAAAACGTTTTCTCGCGATAGCGGGTTTCTGATTATTGGAATTTTTTAGCAGCAGATGCTACAGTAAGTTAAAGATCGCAAAACTTCTGGCAAGTTTTGCGGCCTTAAAACGTATTAGCGTAATTTTGGATTTAGAATTGGTGCGGTGGTTGATATATTTGCTGGCGCGTACATCAACGGTTGGCTGCGAAGTTGAGGCATGGTATATGTGGGAATTGCTCCCTAAACAATTGCTCACTACTGGCGATTCTAGTTATTATCTTATTGCTTTGTTTTCCGCCATCGATGTACTCAAGAATACCGATAGCATCCGGAAATTGGGCCAAGTGGATGAGTCCTCCATAACGGTATGATTGTTTTCTGCAGTATTATTAATTGTTAAGTGCGACAGTTGTGTCTTCTTCGTTAACACTGAAATACAGAAATTTTTGCTGATTATTGTTTGACAATAGTTCAGCCAGGCTTTATACAGCTGCTACCGATTTGGTTTCACACCGGTAGTCTTCAGGCTGGATATGTATGTAATTTCAGGAAGATGGATCGTACTGTTCCTCTGTGGGCAGTTTTGGCCCGGTGCTATCATCAACGTCGGATGCTTTTGTGAAGGTTGCAATCCCTGATGAACTTGATGGCTCAATCCGATACCATACATTCCCAGGTGTACCACAAATGACCGCTGGTAAACTGTGCCGTGTCATCGCGCACCAGTTCGGAATCACGAATCCAGAGGACCATGGATTGTATGTTTCGCGTTGATTTATCACTTTGAAAGTCTTAAATTACAGTTGAGCTAAAAGTTTTCCACTAAAATTAGGAAATTCGAACTGAAAAATCGATGATTGTTGAAGCCAGATGGGGTTTGAAATATATATGTGGTGGATGTTGTAGTTGTGTTGAGCAGTTTTGCGTTTTTCCAAGTTAAATTGGAACTATGATTTCAGATACCTGCTTGTTGATGGATACGAAACATGTCTTTTGTCAAACGAATGTCCGGATTTGATACGGCATCAGTTGCGGCAGGCTCGTAAGGCTCACATGTTTGCTTATAAACGACACGAAGCAAAAATAGCCTGGCCTAAAGTTGCTATGTCTTCTGCGTTATGAATTGCTTGGGTACTGCTAATTGAT